AAAAAAAAAAAAAAAAAAAAAAAAAAAAGTGATAATGAAAGGGCAGGGGAAATTCAGTTAAAAATATTTATCCAGTGCCTGATGTATATGCAAGTATCTGTTCTGGAGGAACCGACAGCCTAGCAGAGGAGAGAGACACACACAGCTGATCAAAGAGACAGTTTGAGATAAGTACTGCCCTGGATGCCAAGTGACAAATCCCAGGGCTGATGGCTTTGAAAATACGAGGAAACAAAGCCTGAATGACAATGACAACATCACTGCTACCCTTGCTAGAAGATGGAAGGGAAAAGTAGGGGACGGGGACTTTCTTGGCAGGTATATACATACATCACCCTGTTTGATGCTCATCCTTGTAAGGTGAGTGGTCCATGAGGAAAATGAGGTTTGGAACATTCATGCATTCATTTAAGAAACATCTGGGCCTGGGACTTCCCTGACGGTCCAGTGGTTAAAACTCGGCGCTTTCACTGCAGGGCACGCGGGTACAATCCCTGGTCAGGGAACTAAGATCCCACATGCCATGTAGCGTGGCCAGAAAAGAAAGGAAGAAAGAAAGAGAGAGAGAGAGAGAGGGAGGGAGGAAGGAAGGAGGAAAAGAAATATTTGGGCCTGTCACCTTCAGGTGACTTGCCTAAGTTTTCCCAGCTAGAAAATGGCTCACCCAGGGTTTGAACTTGAGTCAATGTGACTGTGAAGCCCAGCTCCCACCCCTACACCTTACTTACTGTCTGTTAAAAACCTTGAAGAATGTCTCAGATCCAGGCAGTGCTCTGGCTGGCCCTTGGTGTCAGGAAAGGGCCAGGGAGGGGTAAAGTGGTATAGTGTGATGGTTTCGAGTGAAGATTCTGGAGACAGGAGGCCTGGGTTTCAATCCTGGCTCTGCCACTGGCTAGCTGTGTGATCTAGAGGGAGTTCTCTTGAGTAGAGATAATATTATCTACCTCAGAGGGTTGTTAAGAGAAGCAAAAGGGCTAACACATTTTAAGCATTTAAAACAGTACCTGAAACACAATAAGCATTAGCTGTCATCATTATGCAATGGATAGGAACTTGGGATAAGTATACATTGCGCACCAACAGTATGCCTAGCACTGTGACGGGAGAGAGGGCGATGACCCAGTGCTTTCTCCCCAGGTGGTCAAAATCCAATTAGAAAACAAAGTGGCTGCTCTGAGCCTGTGTTAAAAGGCTGGAAGAGATCAATGTCAAGCCCTAGAAATGTACTGCTGTTTCACACCACGCAGCCTTTGCTTATGCAGCCCCCTGAGCAACTCCTACCTACTCATGCTTCCCAGCTGAGAGTATAACCTCCTCCAGGAAGCCCTCCTTAACCCAGCCAGCCCTCACTATATCATATTGAAATTTTATATTTATTCCCTGTCTCCCCTCTGAGACTGTGAACTCCTCTAGAGCAAAACTAGGTCTAATTCACCCTTTGGCACCCAGTACCCAGCACGGTGCCAGCCACCAAGTAGGCACTTAGTAACTACTTGATAAAATTCTGTTTATTGAACTGAAGGATGCCCAGGCAGCAAAAAGAACCAGACAAAGGTACAGAAGCAGGATTGCAGCAGGTGCTAGATAAATAGCGGTGACGTACGAATGCCCAGTGTGTCTGGGAATTTGAGCCAGACTGGCTCAGGGGACAGAGGATGGAAACTTATCTGGCAAGTCCAAGGGACCAAGCCAGGCAGGGGCACTGATTCTACCTCCCCTCACAGTGTGCATATCCTCGGGCTCAAAGGTCTCCCTCTTCAACCGCCTGCGCTCCCAGACGGTCTCCACGCGCTACCTGTCTGTGGAGGATGGGGACTTCGTGGCCAGTGCACGCCAGTGGGCTGCCTTCACTCTCCACCTGGGTAATCCCACCAGCAGGCCGGGGGCTGGGCACTTCACATGCATTCCCTTTTTAAATCTTCACAACTCCTCAAGGAAAGTAAAATTTGCCCCATGGAACAGAGGCTCAGAAACACAAAAAGACTTGCCAAAGGTCCCAGTGAGCTGGTGACTGATCCAAGCTATTCAGACTCCAGTGTCCAGCCCCTTCCCTCAACTCAGCCCCCACCCCAGGGGGCAGACATTCGCAAGGATGGCCACAAATGACATCTCCAGGCTGAGAATCTTCAGCCTTATCTGCCTTCCTGTGTGCCAACCTTGCCCATAAGACCCATGTGCAATGTGAGGTGGAGCTAGAGGCAAGAAGGGTGGGATTTGGGGCAGAAGCTTGGAACCCCTGAAACCCTCCTTCCTTCCCTCCTTCTTTTTACTCCCAGCTGATGAACACTGTTCCCAGGGAGACTTCCCGCCTCGAGAGGGCTATGTCCACTACGGCTCCCTGGTGCAGCTGATCTGCACGGTCACGGGCATCACACTACCTCCAATGGTATGGGAAGGAAGAGCACAGCTGGAGGGGTCCCCCCAGATCCACACAGAAGGTGTGACCCACAAGTGCAGCGCTGGAGAGTGAGAGCCCAAAGCATGATGACACCTATCCTCACTTGGGATACTCAGTGCTTTGTGGGGCTGGATGGAGGTCGAGCGCTGGCATGGGGGGAATATGCCAGAGTCCTGCCTGGCTATCAAAGTAGCAGAAAGAGAGAAGAGAAGGCTGTGGGCACCCAGGCAACTTGCTGCCGTGCTTCCTCCCACCCTTTTGCTGTAGATCATCCGCAAAGTAGCTAAACAGTGTGCACTCCTCGACGTGGATGAGCCCATCTCCCAGCTGCACAAATGTGCATTCCAGTTCCCAGGTGGTCCTCCAGGAGGGGGTGGCACCTACTTATGTCTCGCCACAGAGAAGGTGGTGCAGTTTCAGGTGAGAAGCAGAGAATATCAGCACCAAGGCGTCCCAGAAAGTCAGAATGCAGAGAACGTAGAACGTAAGGTCACCGTCATCATCATGGCTGCTACTTACTGAGCAATACTGCCTCCCGTGGAACGTTAGAATCGTAGACTATCGGGACAGAATCAGAGAATGTAGAAAAAATAGTGATAATGGTGTTGAGCAATACTCCTTCCCAAAGGATATTAAAGTCATAGAATGTTGTGATATAAAATTGTAGAATGTAAATTAAAATAATAATAAGTAATAGTATTGAGTATTATTGAGCACTATTAGAATCGTAGAATGTTAAGACAGAATTGTGGAAAATTACTATTATTATCATAGTAATAATATATTACTATAAATATAAATAAACTATTATATTATCGTAAGAGAGAAAACCATAACATGTAGAAAATAACATTATTGAGTAATAATCCCTCCCAAAGAATTTTTAAATTTTGGAATGTTAGGGCACAGAATTGCACAATGTTTAAAAACATGGAATTCTAGAATTCTAAGAACATACACCTTTAGAAACCAGCTAGTCCAGCGAGCTGATTTAACTCTAAAGAGAGAACTTAAGGGTTTTGTCCAAGCTCACACGGCAGGTAAACCGCAGAGCCGAGGACCGGAATGCTAGGAACGCGGAAGCCTCTGCACTGCGCTGGATGGACACGCTGACAGCCACCATCCGCGGCTTCTGCCCCATCCCCTCGGATCTCCCCCCAGGCCTCCCCCTGCCCCAAGGAGGCGAACAAGGCGCTGCTTAACGACAGTTCTTGCTGGACCATCATCGGCACCGAGTCAGTGGAATTCTCCTTCAGCACCAGCCTGGCGTGTACCCGGGAGCCTGTCACTCCGGTGCCCCTCATCAGCACCCTCGAGGTGAGTCGGACGCTGGGGGGCGCTGGCGGGCGTGGATACCGACTGCGCTGGAGGGTGGGAGTGCAGGTGAGGGAGGGCTGCGGGCTCTCGGCCACCGCTTCTCCCACACCCCCTGGTCTCACCCTCCCCCAGCTGAGTGGCGGGGGCGATGTGGCAACACTGGAGCTCCACGGTGAAAACCTCCACGCGGGGCTCAAGGTTTGGTTCGGGGAAGTGGAGGCCGAAACCATGTACAGGTATGAGGAAGGGGGACTCCCATGGGTCCCAGGGAACGAAGCAGGTTAGGGGTGGTGGTGGGGGTGCATGTCATCAGTATCACTGCAGCCCTGACCTCGATGCCCCACCCCCAGGAGCCCGCGGTCCCTAGTGTGCGTGGTACCAGACGTAGCCGCCTTCGGCAGCGACTGGCGCTGGCTGCGCACACCCATCACAGTGCCCGTGAGCCTCGTGCGTGCCGACGGCCTCTTCTACCCCAGCGCCTTCTCCTTCACCTACACCCCCGAGTACAGCGTGCGGTCCGGGCCTCCAGGTGCCTCCGCGCCCGCCTCTGACGCCGATGCGCTCCTGGAGAGCATCCATCACGAGTTTACACGCACCAACTTCCACCTCTTCATCCAGACGTAGTAGGCGCGGCCTGGACGCTGGGCCTGACCCCCGGCCGGTTTTCTGGGTCCTGGGCCCTGCCCTCTGCCCCTGTGCTGTGGAAGTGAAGGCTGCAGCCCGAGAAGCAGAAGCCTCTCGCCCTAGAAACCCGTCCCTGTGGGTCTAACACGGGTCACTCACTCGTCCTTTTCCAGCTAGGAAGACACGACCTGAGTGACGCTCCCTTTGTGTCCAGTCAGGAGTGTGGCTTTCCCTGTCTTTGTTTCTGGTTCACTCTCTAAATCAATCACACACTCTCTCTCCCTCAGTAACTTTGTAAGTCTCTCTTATTTGTGCATCCCTATCCCTCCATCTTTGTCTTTCTCCATCTCTCTATGTGTCTTGCATACAGTTTCACACACTCTGAAAAGTGTGTGAAATTCCAAGCCTAGAGCATTTCCCCTCCCGGCAGCTGTGTCTCCCCTCGAAGAGGAAATCCATAGTTTCACACATCCGGGCAAGGGGCAATGGGCTCCTGAGGCATGGCCTGCTTGCCCTGATGTACCAGGTCTTACGTGGAACACTGGATCCCACTCAGAGCACTGAGTCCCTTCTGGAGCACGGGGGCCCTGCCCTGGAGTACTGGGTTTCACCCTGCAATACAAAGCCCTAACCCTCCTTATTCTTCCTATGGCTGGAGCCAGGCACAGTACCCATGCGGGCTGTTTGGTCTCTGGTCCACAACTTTGGTGGCTGGTTAGATCCCTGGTGTGATGGTCAGGTCTTGCCATCTTAACTGTCTACCCAGGCATTTCTCTCACAGGCCCAGTAAAATGCAGTCCTGAGGGTCAGAGATTGCTCTGCTGTGCTAGCATCAACTCCTACCCAAGGCAGAGTCTGATCTGTATGACCCACCTCCACACAGAGGGAGGTGCCCCAGTGTGCTTCGTCCCCCATACACACAGAGGAAAGGACCACACGTGCGATGGAGCAGATCGCTTACATTTGTGACCCTTTCTGGAAGAGGAATGGGGGTTCAGAAGCAGCCAGCATCCCTGAGTCCCTGTCCCTGCCCTGGGGACCACCTGTTGCCTCTGGGGGATAAGTTACCCTACTAACTATCCCTCCACCTCAAGCAAAGTTGCACCCCAGGCCCAGGGGCAACCACAGGACACAAAACAAAACTTTCTGAGGACAACTCCAGGCAGAAATCCTGGGATCGACTGGGCGATAAGCCAGCCAAGAAAGTAGCTTCTTTGCTTGGAGCCCAGGGACCAAATCAAAATTCATCCCTGCCCAGCCTTCCCACCCTCTGCCAAGTCCACGCTCTACAGGGAGGGTCCTGGCTTTTGGGCTTTTGGAACAATGAGGCAGATCTCAGAGGTGCCAGCTACTTGTACCAGCCCCTGGGGGTGCTGAATGGGGAGAACTGGTCTGAAATGTGGGTTGAGAGCTCTCACCCCTCTGGGTCTTCCTTTGAACTCTAAGTTCATTTCCTGTGACACTCTTCCCCTAGAACATGGAAACCCCCGTGAAAAAGAAGCAGCTGACATTTCCCAAGGGGGCGAAATGGGCTTTGCTCTTAGGCTCCCCAAAGTCTTGGCTAAGTTCTGTCCTCTGCCATCAGCAAGCTGAAACCCATAATGATGGGGAAAGAGAAGCTTGTTCAAAGCCTGGCGCGGGCCCTGAGAGCGGATCCTGGCTGAGGAACGCAGAGAGCAAAGTGATAGGAAATGTCCTCGACGTGAGTGCCTGCCCTAGGAGAGTCTGAGCTCGCTGCCCCGTGAGGATGCTGAAGCAGGAAGCCACTTGTAAAGCGGCTAAGAGGAGTTTCATAGCACATCACACGGGGAGTTAGGGCTCAAGGGCCTTTCCAGCCCTGCCCTCCTCCACAAGGCAGGGGTCCTAGAAACCAAGGACCTAGGTTGGCCTGAAAGCCCAGGCCCAGCCATGCAGCTCTGTCTTTTTTTTGCACTCCCCTCAGGGCACCCCAGGACACTTGGTTCCACCTACGCAGCCACCTGAAAGTCTGTGGCCTCAGAGCTCCAACCCTGGCCTGTCTTCTGAGTTCCAGCTGCTGGACTGTCCTTGGGCGTCTTCCCTGCCGCGAGCCTGAATTCATCTAACATCAAACTCCCCTCTCTCTCCCCCTCCCTTTGCTAGAATAGGTTTCTTGCTCCACTCCACTGCTGCCCTGTTCTCCAAACTCAGCTCACAGAGTAACTTATTCAAGATTTCCACAAGGCAAGACTGGCTACATAGTTTGTAGGACCCAGGGCAAAATGAAAATATATGGCCCCTTGTTCAAAAATTATTAAGAATTTCAAGACAGCGAGAGCAGAGCATGAAATCAAGGCAGGGCCCTGCTAAGCACAGAGCCTTGTGTGACTTTCAAGGTCACAAGCCCACGAAGCTGGCCCTGGCCCCAGGCTTTCCACCTCTTTTTCCTATAGAATCCCACTGGGACCATGTACTGCCCACCTTGGATCAAAGGGCTTTATATATGCGTCAGTTATCCGCTCTAGACTGTGACCTTCATATGGAAAGGAGCTCGTTCTTGTGTGTCTTAGGAGGTGCATGACAACGCCTTGAACAGAGTTGGCGCTTAATAAATACCAAATTGCCTGGCATTGCATTGGCAGGTATTTGGATTTCGCTAGTGCAAAGTGAAACCAGCAGATGGCACTGTTCTCCTCTCAAGAATTGAGTTTGTTTTGTTGCGGTACGCGAGCCTCTCACTGTTGTGGCCTATCCTGTTGCGGAGCGCAGGCTCAGCGGCCATGGCTCACGGGACCAGCCGATCCGCGGCATTTGGGATCTTCCCGGACCGGGGCCCGAACGGCGTCCTCTGCATCGGCAGGCGGACTCTCAACCACTGCGCCACCAGGGAAGCCCAAGAATTGAGTTTTCATTTATAGTTTGAAGAACTGTTGGGGTCCTTAAAGATAATCTTAACTCTTCCATGCTCTCAGGATTAGAACCCCACAGGGTTGAGAGTCATTGCCGTGGTCCATATTTCCTCCTCATTTTACACATGGGGAAACTGAGGCTCTGAGAGAGAAAGTCCATGAAACTGAGAGCAGGTTGATGGCAGCACCTGATTTGAATCCTATACTTTTAATGCTAACTCTGGGGCTCTTGAGATTCTTTTAGGTTTCTACTTAATACTCTTTAATACTCTTAATTCCCTGCTGCGTAGGTAGAATGTGTGTGTTACAAGGGGCGGGGGGTGGGGGGATGGGGTAGGGCACATAGTGTACTCTCACTATGAATAAGGTCAAAATCTCCGTTCCAAAAATCTCCCAATTTGCCAGCTCTCATGCTGCCTGAGACCCCACTGGGAAAAAGCTAATCTTCCGGTTTAAGCATTGACCTTTGGGTTTCTCTCTCTGTTCTGTTTCTTTTCAGTTGTTTCCTCAAGTAGAAAGTCATTATATAACCAGTGTGGGTAAAATTCTCATACCCCTCGTCCCTGAGGATGCTGACAGCTGTGGGCACAGACCGTGAAGATGGCAAGGGAGAGAGGAATTAGCTTTAAGGGGAACGAAACCAGTAAGATGATATATATACTAAGTTTTGCAACGTCAGCCCTGACCATATTCACCCAAAAAGGCCCCCCCAGGCAGACCTGGCTCTGTTCCAGACTCCAAGGGACAAAAGGCAGGCCAGGCAGCGGTGCTAGGATAATGATTTCTGTGGTTAAGTGGTAAACACCTGTTGGCTGGCTGTTCGCCTCCTGCGGGGACGGGAGGGGCACGTAAAGTTCAGGGATGGGGGTGGGGGGTAAGGCAGATCCTTGTGACCAAGTTCTCTATGGACTCACTCTGGTTATAGGGCATTGAAGTGGGCCTCACTCTGCCAAGCTCATCCCCAAGCCACCATCTGGTTCTAAGTATCCTCCTCCCGACCCTGGCTGGGGTCCGGAAGTACACCAAGAGCCCCTCATCCAGGGTGGGAGTATCCTGGGCTCGGCTGGTTGTGTCCTGGTATATACATATACAGATGGTCCCCAACTTACCATGGTTCAAATTACGATCTTTTCACTCTGCGATGGTGCAAAAGCAATACGTGTTCAGTAGAAACTGTACTTTGAATTTGGATCTTTTTCCGGGCTGGCGAGATGCAGTCAGGTTTTCTCTCCTGATGCTGGGCAGCGGCAATGAACCTCAGTTCCCAGTCAGCCACGTGACCGTGAGGGTGAATGGCTGATACACTGACAACCATTCTGTTTCTCACTTTCAGTACAGTATCAATAAATTACATGAGTGATTCAACACTTTATTATAAAATAGACTTTGTGTTAGATGATTTTGCCCAACTGTAGGCTGATAGAAGTGTTCTGAGTACATTTAAGTTGGGCTAGGCTAAGCTAGGATGTTTGGTAGGTTAGGTGGATTAAATGCATTTTCAACTTATGATATTTTCAACTTAAAATATTTTCAATTTACGATGGGTTTATCGGGACATAGCCCCATTGTAAGTCGAGAAAGTATATACGTACACTATATGTATATACATACATTCCCTTCTCACACTAATGACTCGTATGTATTTTCAGAGAAGTCACCTTAAAATGAAGGAATGCAGAGCTAACAGTGACATTTCAGACGACAGCCAAGCTGTATGTACTAGGTGGGTGAGTTTGTCTAGTTCAAGGCATTTAACCTCTCTGTGCCTCAGCTTCCTCTTCTGTAAATGGGGAAAATAGGATTGGTTTCGTAAGATGTCATGAAGAATAAGATAATACATGGAAAGTACGTTCAACAGTGGCCCAGAGTTAACCACTTTATATGGGCCAGTTGCTGCCATTGTTACTCCAGAGGCACTTTTAGAGACGATCCAAACACTGCAATTTTCCTCCAACAGATGAGGAATTTGATGGTCCAGAGGAGGCAAGTGACCTTCCTGTATTCGTGTTCCATGTTACATAACTAATTACCACAAACATAGCAGGTTGAAACAACATGGCTTACTGTCCCACAGTTTCCATGGGTCAGGAGTCCACACACAGCTTGGCTGGGTCTTCTGATGAGGGGCTCCCAAGGCTGTCATCAAGGTGTCAGCCAGGGCTGCAGTCTCTCCGAAGGCACAGGGCCCTCTTCCAAGCTCACATCGTTGTTGGCAAAATCCATGTCCTTGTAGCTGCAGAATTCAATGGCAGCTTGCTTCTTCAGGGCCAACAGGAGAGCATCATTCTCATCAGGAAGGTCCCAGACCCTCTTATCCATATCTTCAACTGATTAAGCCTGGCCCACCCAGGATAATCTCCCTTTTTACTAACTCAAAAACCAACTAATTCAGGACCTTAATGACATCCGCAAAATCCTTTCACCTGTGCTACCCAATGTGCCCTTACCATGGGGGTGACATCCATCGTATTTAGAGGTCTTGCCCATACTCAAGGGGAGGGAATAGACAGGTTATGTACTCCAGGGGGCAGAAATCTTGGGGGTCATCTTGGAATTCTGACCATCCCACTCCCCAAAACCACATAGCAAATTATTGGCAAGGGGGAATCCATTTGGCCTGTAGGCCTCCCTCTGCCCCAGGAAGGAACTGCCCCATACAGGGGTCAGTGCTTCTGGTGCTTCAGAAGATTGGCAGGATCATGAACAAAACTGGCCCAGTATTGTCCAAAACCACTCCACATCCCCTGCCCAATTCTCAGAAATAATATTATACCAAGCTCCACTCAGAGTTAGCATTCCACGTAAGTTAACCCCTGTCCAGAGTTGACCAGCAGTGGTGCTGTAAGAACCAGCCTTTAAGATGGCTTCTGACGAGTCCTGCCTCCTGGTATTCCTGCCCTTCTGTAGTCCCCTCTCACAATGAATAGGGTTGACCCCTTTTGATCAATGGGATTTAGTAGAAACGACAGTGTGTGACTTCTGAGGTTCGGCCATAAAAGGTATTATAGCTTCCACCTGTCTCTCTTAGATCACTCTTTGGGAAGAGCCAGCTGCTGTGTCATGAGGACACTCAAATCAGCCCTATGGGGGTCCACATGGCAAGGAACTGAGGACTCCTGCCAACAGCCAGCACCACTTGCCACGTACGTGCACCATCTTGGAAGTGGATCCTCCAGCCCAGTCAAGCTTTCAGATGACTGCAGCTCTGGCCAACATTTTGACTACGATCCCATGAGACTCCAGAACCACCTAGCTAACTCCTGACCCATGGAAACTATGTGAGATATTTACATTGTGATAAATCCCTACGTTTGGGGGTAATTTTACACGGCAATAAAAGATACAGGGCTTTCTGGAACTAACACCTCACCCAAAAGATGTGTTTATGATGAGAATAAAGTGCCACTTATGGAACACTTCCTATGGACCAAGTTCTGACCTACCTCTCTGGAGCCCATTGGAGCCCAGAGTAACAGCTAATGAAGCTGAAATCCAAATCCTGGGATCCTGAGCTAATCTCACACCATCCAACCTAGCCCTACCACAGTCGATAATGTTCTATATCTGCTCTATCCAACAGAGTGGGCACCAGCCACATGTGGCTATTGAGTACTTGAAATGTGGCTAGTGCCACTAAGGAACTGAATTTTAATTTTTTGATTTTTAATTGATTTTAATTTAAACACACATGTAACTAGTGGCCACTGGATTGGATAATGCAGATCAAACAGATGGGAGGAACTGGGACTTCCCTGGTGGTCCAGTGGGTAAGACTCTGCGCTCTCAATGCAGGGGGCCCGGGTTCCATCCCTGGTCGGGGAACTAGATCCTGCATGTATGCCGCAACTAAGAGTCTGCATGCTACAGCTAAGAAGTCCGCATGCCGCAACAAAGATCTCGCGTGCCACAACTAAGACCCAGCACAGCCAAAATAAATAAATAGATAAATTAAATTAAATTTAAAAATAAAAAAAAAGGATCTTACCCACCTCAGAGGGTTGTTATGAGGATCGAGAGGCATCAATGGTATCTGACCAGAGCCTACCAGCTTCAATGCCCAGAGGCCAAGCAGGTGGACAGACTGTGGCAAAGCAGAGAACCTGCATCTAAACAGGCACCCGCCCATCAGCAACTCCCAGACGTTGCCATGCAGCCTGAAAAAAATCTTGATTTTTTTTCCCCCAAGGAGAAGTAGGTAATCAGTCTGGATTTTTATGGGAAACATCCTCACTTCCATAGTTGGCAACTAATTCAAGGATTTCTGCGTTTGTTTTTTAAACACGGTGCCGCCTAAACAAAAGTCTGAGGTAGGCAAGACATGGCTCACAGGCCAGTGTGCATGTTCTGACTTTCCTCCCTCCTTTCCGGGCTCTTTCCTGGCATCTTACATCTCTGCCTCTGGTGTTTGGCAGCAATTACCTCAGGCTCCACTGAGATCAAGGGAAAGGATGACGTCTGATGAACTTAAAAATGATAGAGGCGGGCTTCCCTGGTGGCGCAGTGCTTGAGAGTCCGCC